TTTGGCTCTAGACACACAGCCACAGGGAAAGGGAAGGAATTTTCTCCCAGAAGTTTGAACCAGGAAGCCTTCAAGATTCCTTGATAAAAATGTGGGCATGCTGCCTTTGCTTCCCATCACAATTGCCTCTGGGTATGTGAGCAGAGTCTTCAGGCAAGTTGTGAGTAAGACACAAAACTCTTTAGTGTCCCATCCCTGTGCTGCAATCGATGTTGAAGCAATGGCAAGCTATTATGTCATTCAGGTCTGAATGAGGGAGGTCTATACCTCCCTGGAATAGGCACAATCTGCCTGCAGGCTGCTGAGGGAGAAATGTCATCACACACACCCTCCTTATTCCTTCTGAGACAGGGATTCACTATGTAAGGCAGTCTAGTCTTGAACTTATGACCCTTCTGCCTCCACAGTGCTGGAATTCCAAGCATCCACCATCACACTTGACAGAATGTCATTTGAAGAATAATAACAACATGGGGCTTGTGTGTGGGGGGGAGGGGGTACTGCAGCGCGTTAAACTGAATAATTTGCAAACATCAGAAGTTAACTGCCGTAGCACCTCAAATATGTATTCTCAATTTAATCTGTTCCACCATTAAAGTAAGTCCGAGTAAACAGCCAGCTGATAGAGCACCTGATCAGACGTGGGAGCTCCTGCATGGACATGTCCTGAGCTTTGCTTCCCACATGCATTTTGAACACGGTCCAGCGTGGGTATGCTTTCTGCTCACACGGATGTCCTTTAGACACGCATGCTTACTGCACCAGCATGGAACATTTGGCTTATTATAGCTACAGCCCTAAAAGCCCAGCATGATGGTTTCCAAAAACGGAGTGACTGACATTTGGGCAGCTTTTGTCCCAAGCTTTCTGTAAACTTCGCAAATCCCCCCAGCACCCGCTGGCGGCCTCGATCAGCCGCGTGTGACCCTCGGGGGCCCCAGGCGCCGGAGCTCCCCTTGCCAGACGAGCCTTTGACTTTATTTGGTGCAGCACGCGTAGCTCCGGCCTGCGCGCGCATTCCTGCGGGCGCCAACTCACGCGCGGGACGCTAATTTTAGCGCGGCAGCTGGCGCGCAGGGCACCGCCCGTGAAGAGGGGAGGGGCCTCTGGGGAGGGGCGGGGCCTGCTGAGTGGGAAAGCGGGTCGGTGGACTGGGTCGAGGATTGCAGAGTGGGGCGGGGCGTGGGACTCAGAGTGGAGGCAAGCGCTCAGGAGACAAGGTGGGGGGAGGCTCGTGGAGAGAGCACACAGTAGGGCAGGACAGGACGGGGCACGCAGTGGGCACATCCGAGCCTTTCCTTTTTCCTGTTGACCTCCCGACTCCACGTGCTCAGCTGTGATCCCCGGTAAATTAGGGAGTGGAAGACCTCCACGCAGGGAGTTCAGTTCCGTATGTTCCTCGTGGGCCTGACCCCGTTCTTTTTGTAACAGCGACTAGGGCTGGCTGGACTGGAGGCTTCCTTGTAAAAAAACAAAACGAGCCTTCGAAACTGCCACGCAAAGTTAAAAGGGGAAAAGGAAAAGCCCCATCCTGACCCCGCCCCGTGTGTCCCGGGCTCCGCGATTGTGCGCAGACGCGGCAGAAAGAAGCAGCCGCTTTGATGCTCCGCCAAAAGCATGGCCGTTGTATTCTGCACAATGCATGCATTGTGCGCATGCACGTCTGACTGCGTTCCTAGGTCAGAAAGCTGCGGTGGCTCGGTATATAAATTCTAGGACACTCCGTTCTCCATTGTGGGAGTTAGCCTCAAATCTACTTTTCACAGTCCTGGTAAATATAGGGAGCCACTGTGGACCAATTTGTCCACTGTGTCCTTGGCCCAGAGAAGGGGCCTTTCTACCGGTGCCTTTGACCCTAACCTCACAAGTGGATCTAAATTGGGCTGTAGCTTGAGGTGCCTGGTTGGGGGTGTTAATGGAATGGTGGCAGACACCCATATGGTGCTTATTAGGGGAACAGTGTCTCTAACGACTGTGACCTGCCTGTGAAATTCTGATTTCAGTTGTATATGGGGTGCAATAAGTCTTTATCTTTTATCGCCCAAAAGGCTAATTAAATTGCTGTTGGCAGCACAAATAACAAGATGAGGTAAACAGGTTCCAGCCTGGGTGGAGCATTCCCCTCCAGCAGCACCTCCCACCCCCAGCAACCCAATCCAAGATGGCTATAAAGTGCTAACTCAGGTGGACCCCAGCAGTCTTTACTATGCTTTCTGCAGATCTCTTGATAGAATACTTGAAAAGTCATAGCATAAAAAAACATAATTTGTGACTCACTTGAAAAAACAACAACCCCTCCCCCCCATACATTAAGATAAATCCAGGCCCTTAGCTGTACTGAAGAGCTGTTTCTGTTTTGTTTTCGTGAAGACACAGCCACATATATGCAGTTGAGAAGACATTGAGCTGCTGCAGGAAAGATGTTTTCTAAGTGACAGAAATCTGCAGTGACCCAAATATGTGCTAAGGTTGTTACCTACATGCACACCCAACAAAATTTGACTCATCTGTGCCCTACACCTCTCCCCTGGTGAGAGTATGAACGGTTAGCTGGTGCAGATGACTTCCTTAGCATTGCTAATTGCTAAGTAAGAGTGGTTAACGGGTGAGATCTCCAGATTATGTAACAAGTTACTTTACCCAAAATGTACACTATATTTAGAAATATTCAAATGTGGTGGCATTACCCTATACAGGGTGTTTTAGCTCATCGTGAAAGATATGCTGTGTGTGTGTTTTACCATCAGAGCTCTGAAGCCCCATTCAAAGGCCAACTGGTGGTGCTCTCAATTCTCGGTGAGAATTCTGTCATCTTGGTCTCTGTATCTAATCTAATGGAGGAGGAAAAATGCCCACTACCTAGAGGCGTTTCCAGTGATCATGGGATAGACTACTCCCACTGGAGGCACATTGTTTGATTTTGAGCTGATGAATTACAAAGGGCCAGCCTGTTTTTCCCAAACATACTGAAGGTGGTATCATAGAAGAAACTTATACAATGTCAATAGTCATTTTTTTTCATTCAAAATAAAAGAACACTTTTTAAGCAGGTGTAGTGTTATGCTTCTAATCCCAGAATTCAGGAAGGGGAGGTAGGCAGATCTCTTTTGAGTCGAGGCCAGCCTGATCTAAATTGCAAGTTGCTGGGCTTCACAATGAAACTGTCTTAAAAGAACAGCCTTTATGATACCATGTCTAAATAATTCAACATCGTTATCTGTCTCTATGGTATTTTTGCCCTAATACCTTTGTTGCTGCATGGATTACTTTATATTGTTCAGTCCCACCAAGAGGCACACACTGTTGTGATTTAAACACACACACACAATTCTACAATTTTATAATCTTTTTAAAAAAAGAAAGCTGTAATAACTCAAAGGGAAGTGGTCTTAAATCAGACTGACATGGGACAGGTCGAATTGATGGTTTAAAAAGTTCACTGATGAGTTGTTTTAGTGCTGTTCTTAAACCCAGGGCCTCATGCATGTTAGGCAAGTAATCTACTACACTGACCTACTCCTTCAGCCTTGTATATTCTTAATATGATGGGGGGGGATGTGATATCCCCTACCCCAAGTACGAATTTACCTGGGGGTTCAGAGACATCCAGTGCCAATCCATAAACCGAGTCATTTACAACTTCAGTTTCTTAAATTATAAACTACATGCTTTATTTTTGTGTCTCAAAGGAAGGGGTTCAGCTAGGCTAAAGATGCAGGCTGCCCCAGAAACAGGAAGGAGGGTCCTACATAGTTGACAGTTTAGGAACCTTACATTTCTGCTTGTACTTTCTACTTAAATCTGCTACTGTAGGTCTAAGCAGTAGCACTTACGGCATTAACCACAGCCCTGGATCTAGAACCCTACATGATGAAATGAGTATGAATTCCATTCACAGAATGTCTGACCTTGGTCTATGACCAAGGAAGGGCATGTCTTCTAGTTTCCTACCAACAGAAGCCAAGCAGATGAGGGTAACTTGGGACTAATGGTAGCTACTAATGGTAGCAAGATATTTTGCTCAAGGATACTCAGCAATCAGGAAGATGGTACTTCACTCTTCACTGGTTAAATAAAATCTGTAAGTCATGTACTAAAGACTGAATAATGGATGACTTGTCTAGGAACTGGGATATCCAAATCCTTTTAAATCTTTCTTTCCTTTCCATACCAAGAATCCAGGTAATGACTACACTGGATGTAATCACTGAAGGTGCTTCCTGAAGATTAAGTGACTTCTAAAAAAAAAATCTAGCATTTCAAAGAAAACGAAAGCTAACTTTAACCCTATTTCTTGTTATTTATTAAATGAAAAAGTCACATTTGTTTTTTGAAAAATGCATTCAGTTGACTACTAATAGCAAAAATTAAAAATACGTAAGACCCCCCCACCTCCCAAGATGCTGTTGATGTCATCTTAAAATATTTAACTCTGCATATTCTAGCCTTGAACTTCCTAAATTTCAGTTTCCTGTTGCAGGAGTCTTCCCAGCCATAGGTCAAGAGATCAAAAAGACGTGTACTCTACGGGAATTCCGTACTACGTGGAGATGAGCACCATTTAAACACACCTGGGGCTTCACCCACGTGGCTCTACTTTTCGCTTCATTCCACAGAGATTCCCAGTGGAGACCCCACCTGCAGCAGTGTACTTCCTATGGCCAAGACGGCACTCATCACAAAACTTTTCAAAGAGCAGATCCAGGTCGGGACAGACAGTTCAGTGTCCTTCCATCTGCTCCTTCCAACCCCCTCTTGCAGAGTGGCAGGCTCTCCTGCCAGTTGAAAACCAAGCAAGTGTTTCCCACATGACCTCTGCTCAGCCCTTATCTGTGCCCCTCCCACAGCCCTTTCCCCGGCTTCTGGGTCCCAGAGCGGCTCTGTAGTCAGTCCTTTAGCTTACTCTCCTGCAAACCCAACCCCACACACTTTCCTGTCTGGAGTAACGTAACAGCCACCCTAAGCTTGGTTTAAAAAATTAAAAAAGGCCTTGGAAAACGTTCAGTGCTCCCAATTTTATTTTTATTTAATGCTAAAAGAAAAAAAAAACCGTACTGTAAATCTGACAAATGACAGAACGCAGGTGGTATTTCCATAGCATGGTTTTAAAATATAATGTTGATAGATAGCTAAGATTACACTTATTTCAGTAGACATGAGTTTCATCATATATAGAAAAATTATCACCTTCAACTTAAAAAAGCAAAGGTTAAAAGGTGGCACACTTTCAAAATACTTGGTGGCCAGGAAAAGATACATAGAAAAGCTGTAAACCATGTGTAGGTTCTTGTAACTTCAGAGTGAGGCCACATGAAAGACACTACTTATATCTGTTAAATTCTATAATTTGTTAAAGCAAAAAAGGGACTGCTGACACCCCATCCCCTAATATTCTGAGTATCAGAACCACGGCTGGAATAGTGTTGGGAGTCTGATGTAATCTACCCAGCTGTGGACAACATCCACAAACGTCATCAAGGACAAGAAAAGATCAAACCAGGTCCCCACGTGAATGGTTTTAGAGTAGGCCAGAGAAAGACTCTCAACTCACCCCACCCCACTCCTGACAGAACAACACAAGTCTGAAGGCCATCCAAGGCTGGGCAGATGCACACAGGCCCTTTAATCTCAAAGTGCACCCCCTTTAAAACAGGTCAAGTTTTGCCTCCTTTGCCACTAGCACAGAGAAACCACAGGTGGCCCTTTCCGCAGCTGGACAGACTTGTCCCATTCGACAGGATGGTTCTCTATTCATGTTTTTGGAGAGCTTATCTGTGTTGAGATTGCAAAAGATACAGCCACGGCAAATTAGGTCAAATGACTAATCTAGTTGTAACATCTATGAGGTCAAATTCCAGTTTATAATAAAGTGCTTAGAAACACATTTATACAGACCATAACAGTTGGGTCCTTCACAAATGTCTTTACGGTAGGTGAAACTGACTCTGTTTTGTGTGTGTGTGTGTGTGTGTGTGTGTGTATCCGCCTCAGAGACCAGTAGGATCTGAGTCACAGTAACAATCAACTGGTCTACCACGCATGCCTGTCTGTAACATCACAATGACTGGTAACAAGAACCTGGAGGATGAGGTGCACTCACGAAAAACACAATAAGAAATACTGTATGTGGTGCAGTGTCACTGGTTTTCAAGCATTAGTAACTTGACTACTAAAGAAACCACCTTAAAAAAAAAAAAGATCAAGTAACTAGAAATGATCCCAGGCTGGTGATAAGCTACGTTCTCAAATTAAAATAGAATCCAGGCTGTGAGAAAAAAAAAGGAAAAAAAAAACACAAACCATAGTAGACTTAGAAGCCATGATTGAGCCTACAAGGCCAAGTTACAAACACCTGCACATTAGGGTAGTGTGTTCCTGTTGACATTAAACTAAAACAGCACAAAGGTGGGGGGGAGGACCACAAAACCCAGCATCACTAAGGGGCAACCACTACTAGTAACTAATGACCTGTTGTTTACATTAAAAAAACAATCACTTCACCAACACAAAACAGTGATCAAAAGAAATTAGTTTACAAAAGGCTTCTAAAAATAGTTGGAGAGGTGGGGCTTGATTATGTAAAAACCCTTCATGTTTGTAGCTTTCACTAGCTTGTCATTTTCCAGAACAGTATTATTGACTTATAATTTCAGACACATCTAAGAAGGAAACTGCAGGCTTCCTCCACCCACCACTCACATGCCCACGGGCCCTCCTCGAAGCACCCAGGGCTGCTAACCGTCAATGGACACACTGCAGTAAGCACTCGTTACAACAGGGTGTAGGGATGGATAGTGACAACAGCAATGGCCACAAGAACAGGACAGGCAAAGGAAAGGAACAAACCAGAACAGCAAAACACAAGCAAGACAGAAAAGAAACCAATCCCGAGAGTTCGCCCGGCCTGCAGCAGCAACAGTGTTGGGAAAGGCTGAGGGGCGCTGCCGAGTCAGGCTCCGCTGTAAAAGGGCAGCAAAGCCATCTTACTTGCACACCACCCCGTACAACTATTTCTACAGCTGGGAACACCAGCGAGGCAACCGAGCGAGCATGCAGCATTGACATCTTACAACCGGTCACATGGGCAGAGTGTACATCTGTCAACTTGCCTTCAAAAAAAAAAACAAGCAAAACCAAAAAACTCCCAAACACACAATCCAGCAAATCTTTCAGCAGCACCTCTGACTATCAGTATCGCAAGAACTGAACCATTAACAAGACAAGATTCAATCCCCATCTCCCCACCGTCCCACAGGGCCTGCTAGGTGGGTCACATGCCCAGGAGCGTGCCCTTCTGACAAGGAGTGCTCCCTATTCCCTCACTTCCCTCCAGTCTGGGAGAGGGGCCAGCAATGAGGAATGACAGACAGTAAGGCAATCTTACAATGTCAGAAAAATGTATTTGGCTTTTTTTCTTTTTTAAAATAAGTGCATACAAATACGGCTAGAAGCATTTGTTTGCCAAGTGCTCTTTAAAAAAAAAAAAAAAAGCAGCCAAGTCGCAGCCTACGTAGAACAGCAACTGTCACCAGGAGAGTCAAGCACAGACAGCCTAATAACGTTAACAAAAGAAGAAAATGCCTTTTAAAGTACATACCTTTTGTCGTCAAAAAAAATATAGAAACACAATGTATTCAAAAAATCAAAATTATACAGCCATGTTTATGAAGTCTACATTTCCCTTGTCTTGGATATATATATTTATATATATATATATATATATATATGGAGATTTATATACAGTTCAAGAAGTTTGAGTTAAGGGTAGCCGTGGGCTTTTCTGAATGCAGAAAGTCACGAGTCTCTCTCCTTTTTCACTTTCACATCTCCAGCGAGGATGGTAGCAATCTCTCCTTGCATGAAGGCCCAGGGGACATTGGAGCCCACCAGAGGGCACTTCTCCCCGCTTGGACAATAGACCTCTCCGCTAGCGCCCTGCTGTTTAATGCTTTGTCTGGAGCAAGGGAAACAGAACTTGTGCGATGGGACAGACGGGCACTGCACAAAATGAGTATCCTCCAGCCGCTCGTGGCAGAGGGTGCAGCATAGCGGGGCGCTGGCTGCCAGGGAGGAGTCTGGGAGGCTGGCAGGGTGCACCGGCTCCAGTCCTCCTGTGCCGCCGGTGGCCTGGCCCCCCACCTCTCTGGGGCCAAGCCTTCTTTGGTTCATAGAGGAGGGAGAAGGCGGGCTGCTGCTGTTCCTCCTGGTGGTGGAGTGAACCTGGGTGGCATCTTTCGAAGCGTGACTGCCCCCGGCATTGTCTGCTACTAAAATCAGGGCTGCCATGGGGGACTGGCCATTCTGAGCCGCTTCAGGCGGTGTGGTCCGGTTGGAATGAGGAGAGGCAGTAGGGGGTGGTGGAGACACAAAAGAGGATGTAGGGGTGATGGGGATCTTGAGCGCTTCTGTGGAAGTGGACAGCCAAGGCTGAGCCTCGCCATTGATCTTAGGGGGTCCGACTTCCCCTTCCGGTTCTGGAGAAGGCTTCCTTTTCCTTGCTGTTCTTGCAACTAAACAGAAACAGGAATGGAAGAAAAGGAAAATTAACGGAAATGTATCCAAAGAGACATTTCCCATCTCCAAACAAAACACACCTAGTACCAAGTTCTGCATGCAGCTTCTAACACTTCTCTAGCATGGGGCTCTGAGCCTGCACACTACTTCCAAGAGAAGCTAAGTCAGGCGAGCCTGCCTTAAAGGTTCCAACTCCGAAGCGGCACATGTGACTGCTAACGTCCTAGACAGGTTAAAGGGTGAGTGCTGCCCTCATGCTCCCATCCAAGAATTTGCTGGGAAAGGAAAACGCCGTGTTGCTGCCTATCAGCCTGCTCTGACTCATCCCTGTTGTGCTGGTTCAGCAAAGGAACCACGTTGCCACTAAGCGCTGTTTCAGCCTTTGGCCGACCAGGAAGTTGGCTGTTTGTTGTTTTTGGGCTAAGGCAAAACCGTGCATGTTACAGTGGATTCCCCAGCACACACGCGTGCACACTGTTTCTAACCTCCACGCCCTCGATCCCTTCTCCCCTCGTCCCACAGCCGCCCCTACCTGCTTTAGACCCGTTGGCCCCGTTGGCCTCGAAACCCAACAACCTGCCTGCAGTCAGGGCCGGCTCCTTCTTGAACTTGCTCTCGAAGGGCCCCGAGTGGCCGTGCTGGTGCAGCGCCAGTAGCGTGTCGCGCACCGTCTTAGGCCTGCTGGCCCAGTCCTGCTCCCCTGACGCTCGACCCTTGCCTGCACCGTCGGCGCCCAGCTCGCTCGCCCCAGAAGTGCCGGATAAGCTGTCGGCTGGGCTTCGGTGCGCGGGCTGTGCCTTCTCCTTGCTCGGCTCACGAGCCTCGTGCTCCGCCGCGCCCGACACCGACGCCGGCCGTTTATGGGTGCCCAGCTCGGCGGGCTGGGCGCCCAGGCCCGGTGTCCCGCTCACCGCGGCCAATGTGGCCGCGGCACGGCCGCTCAGCCCCAGTGCGGCGGAGCCGTTCACCAGAGGCACTAAGGTGGGCGGCACGGCGTGTGCGCGCCGCGGGTTCGGGCTCTGACGATTCAGCTCGGGCGGCTCCTCCAGCTTGGAGAAGCCGTTGGGCACCAGGATGCCGTTCGCCGGCGCGGGCTGCGGCGCGGCCGACTGCGGGAGGCCCGCACCCGCACGCGAGCCAAAGTCAGAGGCCAGGCGCGGAGCCCGATCCGGCGCCAGCGGGTAGCGCTCCATGGCCTGAGCGCGCGCGGCCTCGGAGCCCGCGTGGCCCAGCTGCGGCGGCGGCTGCAGCAATAGGTCCTTGGCCGACAGTGGCGGTGGCTTGGCGGTCGAGGGTTGAGCGCCGGTCGGGGAGCGGCCCTCGGAGAAGCAGCCGTGAGCACGCTTCAGCTGGCGCGCCGTCTCGATGACGAACTCCACGCGGTCGGCGCCCTCGTAGTTGACGCAGCCGCGGCACACGGGCTCCGTGAAGTCCCAGATCATGGCCCAGGGCATGCGGGGCAGGTCACACAGATAGCACGACTGGCGCCGAGACGCGGCCGCCACCGCCACCGCCGCGGCCATGTCCGCACAGCCCGCCGCGCCACAGGAGGAGCCGGGCGAGGAGGGGACGCCGCCGCCCCCCGCGGGCCCCGCGCGCGCGCGCCGGCCGGCCCAAGCCCGCGTCTGCGCGACTAGCGGCGGCGGCGGCCGCAAGCGAGGAGGCGGCGGCGGCAGAGCCCGGGCCGGCGCGGCGCCCGCGCGGCGCCCCCGGGGCACGAGGGGCGGCGGGCGCGCGGCGGGGCGCGGCTGCAGGTCCCCACGGGCGGTGGGGCGCCGAGGCGTGCGCGGGGGCGGCGGCTCGGCCGGGGCCGCGGGCTCGGGCCTCCAGACCGGGGCGAAGACGGGCCGCGAGCGCAGCAGGTCGCGGTGGCGCCGGGCGCGCAGAGCCGCGCGGGGGACGGGGGACGCGGGGCAGCCGCCGGGGCAGCTCAGCCCGAGCGGCGGGGCATGCCGCACGCGAAGGCGTGCAGCTGGATCCTAGGCCCCGGCGCAACCGCTGCACAGCACCCAGTGCAGCTCAGCTCCTGCGCCGCTGCTGTTGCTGCTGCTACCGCCGCGGCCGCTCCACTTCTACAGACTTGATTCTTCGACAGCTCCGCACGGCGCCTGCGCGGCCCCCTCCCTCCCAGGCGCGCGCGGTCCCGTGCGCCCGCCCTCCCTCCCTCCGCGCGCTCTCGCGCGCGCCGCCCTGGATTCTTCCCTTTCCCGATCGCGTGCGCGCAGGGGCTGGAACACCACAGGAGTTCGCGCGGTCCTGATGCTGCAGGTGTGCAGGTCTCATCCCTTGGGGTCGTCTGTCCCCCCGCCTACCCCGCCAGGATGCTCCATCCCACAGTCGTGTCCTTTTGATTATATTGTGCAAACTGTTTTATTTTACACGCAGTGCCACTTTGTCACTTAGTTACTGGCAGCCTCCTGAGCATGGAATTTTGAGCATAGCAAGGCGCACTTTGGACTTTTTCTGTTAAGAGTCTCACTTGGCCTGAGCTGAACGCGCGCGCAATCATCACGTTTAGCCCTAATCTGGTCGAGGAAGCAACACACAGTCGCTGTCCCTTTAAGTTTTACAAACTCCGCATGGCCTGCTGCGCTCTGGCAGGCCCGGCCTCCTTTGCGCGTGCACCAAAGGAGGATGCACAACCCAGGCTCATCAGGGCCCTCGGCGCCGCCGCCCCAGCGTCTTAAGTAGGTCCGCGCGGCAAGCGCGTGACGTGGGCAAGAGACGCCGCCACTGCGCAGGCTCCACATAGACGTGCCCAGCGCCGCGGGCTCTGAGGCCGAGCCGAGCTAGCGCACATTCCAGGGATCTGGGTTCTGCAGCCCGGCGCGTCATGGCGCAGGTCCCGCCCCCGGACTCTGGCTCGCAGGCTCTGCCCCACCACCTCCACTTCGGCCGTACTTGGAGTGGCCAGCCGCAGGCGCCCGCTACCCCTTGTGCGCCAGGGGCGTGCGACTGGCGGGTGGATTTGGCTCTCCGTTGTCCCACCCGGCTTAGCCCAGTGGGCGCAGATGCGCTTGGCCGCTTGGCTTTGCCGCTCCCTTCCACGGTGGGCATTGCGGGCTGCCCAGAGTGGACGAAACTCCCGAGATGTACACTTTGATAGGGAGCAGGGATTGGTGTGTGCTGTCTGTGGTCGGTCACTCAGGCTGACCATCTCATTTGGGACCTACACACTCAGTTGGCTGAGTTCAAGAGCTGCTTTTGTGGTGAACAACACAGGCCCGCTTTTCTCCCCAAGACTGGAATGAGCTGGTTAAGTGTGGGAAGAACAGGGTACTAATTACATTACCTTTCCTACAACTGGATTGGAAGGTGGAAAGGGAGGAAAAAAAAAATCCTGCTGACGTTTCTCCAGTTGCTGCTATTGAAAATGCCAGGTTGCTTCAAAGAATAGCCACAAGAGGAAACACGCCCCATAGAGAAACGGCTTAGGGAACTGCTTAGAGCACAAGAATAAACCTGTTGGAGATGGCACAGAAAGCTTAATACCAGATGCCAAGGGCGTCCACAGGCTAACCTTGAGCGTCTCTCGGGGCTTTCCGGAGAAGGTACACCTGTGTCAAGGGCCTCCCCATCTCCTCTTCCAGTCATAAGCCTGCCTCACCCTCTCCAAGCCTGGAATGGGGCCTACCCAGATCCATTCCCAGAAGCAGCTGATGCCAGCTGGTTTGGGCACCTGCTCCAGGACCTGTCAGTCTGGTCACTCTCTTCCAAGACCCTGTGCCACTCATCTGAGCACGTGATTTTGCCCGTGGAGATACCGAGTGGAGATGAAGCTGCCCTGACTGCAGAGTCATCTCAGTGCCCTAGGGGGTGACCCACTAGGCAGACACTGGAATGTTAAAACAAAGCAGAGCTCTGCATGAAAGCATGGCCTGATTATACTCGGTTCACCTGCCAGCGGCCCTTGATGCCCTCTCCAGGGAAAGCCGCCACTACAGCCCAAAATAGAATTACGGAGGTACAATGTCTGCCTTGAGAAATGCTAAGTAGAGCTTTACTTCTCCAAAAGATCGGTATTTCCTTTGTATTTCACACCACTGGCTTCATGTCGAAACTCAGCTGTTGGAACTTCCCCCTAGAGATGCCTGCCTGCTGGAAAACGGAAAGGCTGTTTCAGACTGGGCTGCCCTCCACAAAAAGGAACCCGGCTCCACGGGGTTAAGGCAAGGCCTGGATTCAGGGCAGCAATTCCTTATACTGTATCAACAGCCTTTCATGCTGCCTAGCCTTTCATGTAACTCCGAAGCAGTTTTTTTTTTTTAATCGATGTATGCTAAGTAAACATAGCTTTGTTTCTGTCTTCCACCCACCCGCCCTCCCTCCCGGCGCAGACTGGAGCTGGATCCTGTCCAAAGCGGCTGCTGCTGGAGTTACAGCCTGCCTCCTCCACACACAGGAGCGGGGTTTCTAGGGTGAGGCAATGCGTCTGCAATTCGCACAGACAAGGCAGGAATTGTAATTGTACCTCACCATGTGACGACTTATGAAAGAGGAAGTTGGCATCTTTTAGTCACGTAGACTGCCCTCTTGCTTAAGGCTCCGGGTCCTCCCAGAAGAGAGTCAGGATGAGCTTTGCTGCTCAAAGTCAAGGTTCCAGGATTGGCTGCAGCCTGTATGTGTGCATTCCTAAGTAGACAGGCAGGCAGTGCAGCGACCGAGGCCAGTGCTTAACCAGAGTGCTGGGACCCTGGGATTTGTTTTAGGAACTAAAGGAAATACTCTGCAGGGTGGGGTTCTAGATGAGCAACAGTTTTCCTGGCTGCAATTCTTAAGATTTCTTCTTTTAAAATAGAGATCTCAGTTCCGCTTGACCAGATGCAAACGGCAATTTGAGAAGGGATTCTAAAAGCATGGTTCCATGGACAAAAGACAGCTGAGCCTACACTCGCAATGGTGGACACTGAACTCTGAGGCCTACTCTCTAGGCCTCACTGCCGGGTGGGTGCCTTTGTGCACACCTGGGAGCCATATACTCACTGTCTACTGGGCAGGGTGCTGTGAGAACACCCACATGGAGGTCTATCTTCAGGACCCCAGGAGACTGTGGGTGCTTTATGCTATGGCGTTCTGAGTTTGTGAGCGCCACTCTGAATCCAGATGTGGATGCGTGGTGTCACTTCCGTAGAGTGCAACTTTCAATGGCAATGTCGAGGATGGGATGGGAGTGGGGTGGTCCAATGGGTAATGCACTTGTTACACAAACCTGGGGTTTTGAGTGTGACTCACCAGAATCCATGCAAGCCACCTACAGTGCTTCCATAATTCAGCTTCCACAGTCTACAAAATGGAAGGAACGGCAGGAAACCCTGTCTGGAACAGGATGAAAGGCAAGGATGGGCACCTGAGGTACACCTGAGGCTGTCCTCTTACCACACCCGCACTCAGGCGCACATGTGCACACACACACTAAAACAAAAATGATGTTGCAACCACAGTGAGGCTTTCTCAGCTCTGACCCCTGCATGTGTGAAGGGGAAAATAATGCAGCCACATATCATCTGTGTTTCTGTGGGTGGCACTGCCCACCTCCCTGACGTTGGCAAACGTGCAGCAGAACCAGAAGAACATGTTAATATGAATACACTTCCACAAACTGTAGGCAGCACAACAGACATGAACCTTCTAGAACCGATTCAAGAGCCTTTCTTCTGAGCAGTGGCATTCGTGAGATGATTTCACTGTTTCCCAGATGCCAAATATTCTTTTTTTTGAAGTGCTTTCCCTCTGGCCTCCCCAAGCCACCCTCCCCTGTGCTAGAGGACATTTACTATTGTTAAAGGGGTTCTGTGTGGAGGGTCTAAGAACCAGAGCAAATCGCAGGGGCTTATAAACACCACCTAGCAGAAACCGAAGCTGCTGTCACCAGCCTGTGTCTACATTCATGCAGATCACCATCTAAAGTAAAACTAGGGTCTTGGTGTAAGTTAACTACTGACTGTGTTGCAATTTAAAGAGCCAAGAAAAAAAAAGTAGGGAAAACAGACAAAGGAGAGATTGAGGTCACACCCTTGCTCAATCTGCAAGGAAAATTTTCAAGAGCCCTGGAAGAGATTCAATAGCCTTGGTGCCAGAGCCGCCTTCTATTGGCTTTTTTAAAAAAGAGCTGGAGGAAGTGCTCTTAGCTGACTGTGAGTTTCATGTGTAGTTAACACACTGGCTAGAGTCCTTTGAAAGATAAGCAGTAGAAAGATGTGTGGACAACGTTTGAACATATTAAAAGTCCGATATCCTCTCATTAGCTTTCTGGCCTAAAAACAAACATTCCCCACAGTCTCATTCAGTAGGACAAAGGAAGTCGAGATAACCAAATGCTAGTACAGCACTCAAGGCTACAGAGAGTAGGTGATGACATACTAATCCTTACATCTCTTCAGAGACACTTTATTTCTATCCTATGGGCTGAGGAGATGGCTCAGTGGGTAGGGGTGCTTGGGTACCAAGCCTGATGACTGGAGTTTGATCTCCCTGAATCACATGGTAAGAGAACTCTGACTTCCACACATGCACTACTATAGCGCGTGCACACAAACAATACACATGTGCTCGCTCGCATAAATAAGTAAATAAATAAATA